TTTTTTTTATTTCCTGAAAATACAGCAGTATTTGAAGGACTAAGTTTTCTCTGCATTAGTTATAAGGAAGCTTCCCATCTATGAAGAAGAACAAAAAAAAAAAAGTATCTACAAACCTTGTAAACAGATCTGTATCATTTATAAACATAAATAATCCAAATTATTAACAGCCAACAGCAGAAATTAAAGTATTCATTCAATGATCCAGGGTTCTCTGTCTTGCCCAGCCTTACTTCTCCCCCTCTCCCATCAAGGACTGAGATAAACCACAGCTCTGCTAATACACCGTCAGGACCACGCCAGGTACCACGGATGATCCACAGGTCACGTATGCCGAGCTGTTCATCCGTCAGTTCATTTCTCCCACCCCCCAAAAAGCACCCTCAGTCTGGCAGAAAGCTTTGCATTTTTTTTTTAAAAAAATAAATCTACATTCGTACAAGTGTGTGTCTTCTGTTGAAGTCCAAAGACAAGAAATATTATCTTGTCCGTCACAATATGTGAAAAGACTCAGTTTCAATTTGTTTCTTTACACTGCAGCTAGTGTGTTAACATTCAGCTTACAATCAGAGTGATGTTTCCAAACTATGTAGCGGGCTTCCTGGGGATGAAGAGGTAGCAGACTTGTTCATCTCTACTGTAAGGTGAATTCCGCTGTCAACAGCATTGTTATTTTTGTTAGGAGAGGGCAGGGGGCTGGAATTGCGTTTGGTAGGAGCATCATCTTCAGCATCAATGTCATCAATAAGAGGGATGTGAGGCTCTGAATCTTCTATCCTAAACTCAGGGTGTGTCATAAAGTTGTGGATTGAACTTCTTGATTCTGGCTTTTCTAACCCTTCATATAAAGAACTACGAAATGCATTCACCACTCGAATCTGTGTTTGGATTCTGTTCAGACCTCTAAACCACAAGATCTGGCCACGCTGCAACTCCTTTTCGGCATGATCAATCTCTTCAACATCCTTGGCTAACTCCTCCTCAGGTATTTCTTCCTTTTGTGTTCCATGACCAGCTTCTTTTAGGAATTTTAAACGGCTAGTTGGAATTGTTGAAATAAGCTGGCCCCAGAGTAAGGTCCCCATTCCCAGGAATATTGACCACAGCCACTGTTCTATTGAAAGTTCTGAGCAGCTGAAAGGTTTCCCCCGAAACTGCACAATTAGTATCTGGACCACAAAGGTGCCTAGCACAATGGTGCAGAAGATGGCATTATTAAAGATTCCTTCAAACACATTTCTTTCACCATGAATTTTCCGGGCATTTATTTCATTGAAAAGCTGCGTCAGCACAAAGGTATTGAACACAATAGTGTAATGTTCGGAGGGGGGAGCGTGCAGAGGTGCATTCCTTCCACTGTCGATATCAAAAAACTTCTCTCCAGCAAATAAGAGTGTAAAAACCACTATGAGCTGGTAGAATGCATGACCCAAAATATTCTTCATCATTGTGCATGAGATGAGAGGCTTATTTCTACCATAGGGCTTCCGAAGCAGGAGCGACTCAGTAGGTGGTTCCGTGGCCAGGGCCAGGGAGGCCAGGGTGTCCATGATGAGGTTTACCCACAGCATCTGTACCGCCTTAAGTGGTGAATCTTGAGTAATACAAGTGCCCGTGAAAGCAACAATCACTGCTACTACATTAACAGTAAGCTGGAACTGAAGGAACTTTGAGATGCTGTCATAGACATTTCGTCCCCACATAACTGCTTTAACAATGCTTGTAAAGTTGTCATCTGTGATAATAATATCAGATGCTTCTTTAGCCACATCAGTTCCAGCAATGCCCATTGCAAATCCAACGTCTGCTTTCTTTAGTGCAGGGCCGTCATTTGTACCATACCGGTTACAGCCACAACCTGACGTTGCTCGGAGACGGTGCTATCAATTATACCTTTAACCAGTGTATGTTTGTCGGTGGGGGAGGATCTTGCGAGGACTCAAAGCTTTGGCCAAATCTTGTCTATCCTCTCTTGTTCAATCTCTCCTTTCTCATTTCGTATTCTTCGGTTAAAATCTTTACCTTCTAGGCAAAGGAAATCTTCCCCTGGGTGTAAAATACCACACTTGGTAGCAATAGCACGAGCAGTATTAATATTATCACCAGTGACCATGCGCACAGTAATGCCAGCTCTCTGGCACTTCTTTATTGCCTCTGGTACCTCAGGCCTCACAGGATCTTCAATCCCCACCACAGCAATGCAAGTAAGGCCGGTGACGACATCGTTCTCGTTGTCCCACTCTGGCTCTGGCTCGCCCGCTGGGAAGTCTCTGAATGCCAGACAGATGGTTCTCAGGCCTTCCGATGCCATCGGCTCAATCACAGTTTTCACAATATCATCACGGTCCCTGGGTCTGAATACTTTGGCCTCACCATTAGCACTCAAGATTTTGAAACACTTTTTCAGCATGATCTCAGATGCACCCTTGCTGAAGATGCAGTAACTTCCATCTGAATTTTTCAGGACTGTACTCATGGACTTCCTAACAGAATTGAAGGTGTAGACTTTGTACAATGCTTCTTCTGGTATTTCATTTCTAACATCTTAATAGTCCCGTTTTAAATCCAAGAGAAATCCCAACAAGGCACATTCTGTTTTATTACCCACATGACGAGGTAATCCACCCTCTTTCTCTGGTGGCAGTATTTTTGATGTATAAGCACAATTCACAGAAATTCCTGTTACTAGATAGGACAGAATATTCGGAGGAATGGCTTCTGGTTCAGGAACCTTTTTGTAATGCTGTTCATTTATGTACGCTTGCACAACCGTCATTCTGTTCATTGTCAGTGTTGCCGTTTTATCTGAACAGATCGCTGTAGCATTCCCCATGGTTTCACAAGCATCCAGATGCCTCACTAAGTTATTATCCTTCATCATTTTCTTGACTGAGTAGGCCAATGAGATGGTGACCGCCAGCGGAAGACCTTCAGGCACTGCGACCACCAGAACCGTGACTCTAATAATGAAGAACTTCACAAAGTACTGTATGTAGATCGGGGTGCACTCAGCAAGCCACGGTCTCTTCTGGACCCAGGAGATATCAATCACAAAATATAACACTAGGATGATAACTGTGATGGCAGACATCAGTAGACCCGCTTTGCCAATCTGAACGCCCAGTTTCGTCAGCTTCCCCTGAAGAACGGATTTTTCTTTTTTGGGCAGATTTGCTTTCTTCTTGTCCTTTTCGTCGCCGTCCACTCCTTCTTCGCTCTTTAAGGGCTGCATCTCCATGGCTGCGCCGTCCTGAGCTTTTGCTTTGTTGCGATTCTCAATAGCTCCATCTTGTTTCTTATTTTTCTTTTCTTTTTTCTTCTCATCTTTCTTTTCTTCTTCTTCACCTCCAGCTCCCAGTAAGGTGAATATAATTCCAGTTTGAGAATTCACACCTACAGCTGTAACCACCATTCTTCCAGAACCTTCCATGACATGAGTGCCCGATAGAAGTAAGGGATCCTTATCTAGAGACTTCTTAACATGATCAGATTCACCCGTCAACGAACTTTCATCAAATTTTAGGTCATTGCCTTGAATCAGTATGCCGTCCGCCGGGAGGAGATCGCCGTACTTCACTTGGGCAATGTCTCCCACCGTGATGTCGGCTACAGGTATCTGGATGACTTGACCACCCCGATGACCGTGAACTTCTGTTCCTGTTCGATCCGACTCTGCAAACCTCGGAACTGCTTCTCCTTATTCCAGTCACTGAAGGCTGTCACCAACACCACACACACGACCGACAAGAGGATCGCAGCTCCTTCGATTCACCCGGTTTCACCTTCCCCTTCTTCTTCCCCGACCGAAACTTCTCCACAAAGTGCAGTATCCCCTTCTGGAGGTTGATAAAAAGAAAGGCCCAATGACACTATGGCTGCAATTTCTAGGATAATTAAAGTGACATCTTGTAATGCTTCCCATACTAATTGAAGAAAGGTTTTTGGCTTCTTAGGAGGTATAAAGTTCTTTCCGAACACTGCTTCTCTTCTTTCCAAATCTGCAGGATTTCCCCTTAAACCTTCATTGGGAGATGTTTTCAACTTGGTGCAGATCCCATAGACATCTCCATAGCTCTCCTGTATCTTCCGTAACGCATCTGTGGACCTGAGCTCCATGAGTGCCCGCAGCTCTGCGAATGTAATTCCAAAGTCTCCATCATGATTAGCTTCTTTCAGAGAGTTTTTCACACCACTATATGCAACGGAGTTGTTGGCCATGTCGCCCATTGCAAGTATAATTTATTAGGAGGAAAATGTTCCCCAAGAGAATGAAATTTTCACTTGATATATTTCCAAGATGAAAATCTTTTAAATATGAAAATCTTCCTTAAACCAAACACTCATTGTACGAACTCTGTGAAGTAGTATCAGCAGCAACAATTCCCAGAGAAGTATCCTGACCGCTGGCCCATGACTTGTTTCTTCCCCTCAATCCTGAGATGCAT